AGGTTTGAATGATATACCTTCCCATCTAATAGGCGATGGTCCTATAGACACTGCCACCCTCTGTCCAATATGGTTGACTTCAATTGCAAAGAAATTCACTTCCTTGTTCCCCTTATCTCAGAAATAGTAGTGAAGCATGCCATTTTCCAACTTATGAGGGCTGATTGAAAATATTTTTCAATAGAAACAGCTAGGGGCCAACCAATCAAAATAGACACTCCTCCAACTAGAACAGAGATTGGCTATAGACCACAGAATGCTGCTCTCCATTTATACTTGACAAATAAATACTCTGAAACCAATTAAACTATGCATTTAAGGACTAGAAGAGAAAATACTATTCCCCTCAGAATCCAGATATCTGAATTTCCACATTTATTGAGCAAGAGAAAGACAGAAAAATAAGGGGAATGGATGCTAATACAGACCACAATGACTGAGCTGCTTTAAGACTATTTTAACTCCTACAAACAGAAAGTGTGCAGGTAATAAAAGACAACATGATCTAGCTGAAGAGGATGTATGCTTCTTAATTATTACCAGATTACAAAATTAAGAATGGAACCTATTGAAAAAAGCTACTGCAAAACAGGTGGTAGACTATAACATCTGCTTTGCATAGCCACAAAAATATTCTTCCTTTTGGTTGCTACCATGCCCACTGTGCAAGGTGCACTTACATGCCATGGTTGGTGGTATCATAGAATGAACCAACATCATGTCATTTAAAATTATAGATTTGGGAGGTGGAGGTCCTGGGTTTGATTACCAGCACTGAAAAAAATAAGTAAATAAATAAGATAATAGATTTTGGGGAGGGAGGGGGTACTGGGAATTGAACTCGGGCACTCAACTACTAAGCCACTTCCCTAGCCCTATTTTGGATTTTATTTAGAGACAGTCTCTCACTGAGTTGCTTAGAACCTCGCTGTTGCTAAGGCTGGCTTTGAACTTGTGATCATCTGCCTCAGCCTCCTGAGCCACTGGGATTACAAGATTACAGATTTTTGGAACAGAAATTTATTTCCCTGACTTTACAAAATGTTTTGGTTTTCTACCCTCTGCTCAACAGTCATTCTCAGGGTCCTTTGGTACTCCCAGTTCTTGAGCTGATTTTCCACAATAACCAAACCTATGTGTGCTCTGCAGATTAGAGAGGAATGATACTGTATTACAAAGGAGTTTGTTTTCTTTCTGTTCAACGAAGCTGTTCAATGGTCCCATTCATGAGACAAGAACGTGCTGCTGTTCTGGTATCATGTGGCACCTCACTTTCCTTAGCTCTTCCTTAGCAAAAATAAAAAATGAAAAAATAAAAATAATAGGGAAAATGAAAAACTGTCAGACTTGTATTGGTAATTATTGTGCACAGTTATGTGGAGTTTTGGAAGCTAACTACCTTTAAATTAAAAAAAAAACCCTATATGTAACTCTGATCTTAATACTCAGGAAGTTGACTTCCATGTTAAAAAGGTGACACTATGACACCATGTGTTTCTGGATTCGTCCTGTATGGAAAATACATCATGTTCATGTTATTTATGTGATGCTTCTCAGCATCAGATACTAGGCCAACCTCGCTCCATGCCTTTTATTCTTCCAGTCACCATGTGTTCAACATCATCGATCTCATTTATGGAAAAGGGAACTGATAATATTGAAGTGTAAGTCAATGCCAAAGTGAATTGTGTCTGGTCAGTTGCAGGGGCAAGTTTCCAAAGTAAATGTGAGTGAACTCAAGCGTGAGCTCTTCCTAACCACCCCTCTCCAGTGCCTCCTGTAGGGGCTGTTATTTCTAGGACAGACTATTCATTCCCAAATAGGATCACACAATGGGGACCTCTAAATGACACATGCTGCATTTTTATGTAGGCTATGGCAGTGAATAATAACTGTCTCTTTTGATTTTGCTGATGGAAACAAAAGAAACATCTCTCTCTGCTTTTTACATGTGAAGAATTCGTTTTGACTAACTAACTGTCAACATTTCTGACTTTATGTCTACCCATGCTTTGAGACTTTTCATGATGGTGACACTTTTCTTTTTTTTACAAGGTGAATTTGTAAAGACACCTCTTTACGTGCCTTTCTGCAAACTGGCTCAGAGTTTTCAGGTTGTTCGTAACACATAAAAAGTAAGTTCTTCGCATTACTTCGGTAGCTCACTCTGCTCATCCTGTAGGTGTAGACACATCCCGATTCCTTCTAAAGCTTTCAAATCACACAAATGTGTGACCATCACATAAGCACAAACCCCAAACTTCTTTAAGATATGTAATATGTAAAACTTCTTTAAGATACATCATATGAGTCATTTTTAGAAAATATGTTTTTTTTCCTTCTTGTAAAGTACACATTGGGGTGTTTAAATGATTCCACATAATTCAGAATTCCACAGATCTCAGAGGTTTTTTTAAAGTCACTTCACCCAAAGTGACTAGTGGGGGTGGCTGGTCTTCTAGAAGGGATTGGGCACTTTGCTCAGCATAGCAATGAGGTGAAATAATCCATAGATACATTCCACACCTCCAGGCCACCCAGAGTGTGAGTATGAAGTAAAAGCCCATAGAAAATTAAAATATGTAGGTGCTAAAAAAAATTCTGAAGTGATATTAACTGCATGGGGGGAGGTCTTGATAAAATTGGCAGGTGAGGTTGAAACGGTTTTTCAAGGGGCATGTTTGACCTATATCTAAAATGAGCATGTCCCCAGGCAAAGGAGAATGTCAGATGATATTCCTTGAGTGAATGTCCAGCACTCGTGATGGCTGCGAGACAAACTAAAAGCTTCCTGTGTATGTTCATTGTAAATGTAAGTCTTGTCTAGAGAATGTAACAAAGGTAGAGGCAGGACAGGTAAGGCATGCCAGGGAGCAGTTTGCATTCAGATGTGTCACACAAGGTGTTAAAATTCTATCTTGCAAGTGATGGTAATAGGATATTCTGAAAGCAAGACATCACATGCATCCAGTTTTAATAGATTTTCCTCTGTCCCAGGATGCAGGAAGGGCTAAAGTGGGAAAAGACTAAAGTCAGGAAACAGAGAAATCATACTTGAGAGGCCTAGGCAAGTGCTGAATCCTTGGTGGATTATTTAAACCAACACGTAAATGTTTGATGGAAGCATAGCTCAGGGGCTGCCTGGGCCACATATGGAATATGTGGCTACTAGGATGGATTTTGTTGATGCAGTTTAACTCCCCTGAAAAATTCTCTTATTCAGCCCCCAGACTTACCTAGCCCCAGTAAATATTTGCAGAATGAAAATAAAAGCAAACGAATAAAGGCCCACGTATTCAATGTAGGCATTTTAACCACATCTGAGCCAGCAGTGTTATATTTGATTCGAAGAAGACGGGCCCAATATGGAGGTTTTTCATATCCCTGAAATCATAAGAGTCCTCCAAAGATACACTGAAATTTTCACTTTGTTTAGACTTTGTACCAAGAGAGTAAACAAGTGGTATTATCATTGGGTGTGCATGTTAAAAAGACATCTGGTTTGAGATATATCATTAAAAGTTCTGTGTCCTTAACTTTCAACACAACTCAAGAAAATAAAGCCCCAATAATATCTCACAAAGCACTCCTTCTTTATTTGTACCACAGTGAGTATAAATCCTGAAGTCAGGGTCCTACAGCTCTAACAGATTCTGACGTAAGTGCATCTTCAGCAGGATGTACGGTATACTTGGGGCAACCTCTCATGTATGAAACAAATGATTACTAAAAATAGCCCAAGTCAAGTTGTCTCATAGTTCCATCTCTCTGTGGGTGGAGACATATTTTGCTTCCACCTGAAACCTTCAAATCGAGCATGAGGGCATTACACATTCAGAAAAAAAAAAAAATGGAATTTCTATAAAAAAACTGGAATGAATGAAAAAGGGCTTTAAAAGCCAAGTATTTTTTGAGGTTTTCCCAGTGTTTCCTTGACTAGTCATAAATAACTAATATTGCACCCACGGAGAGAAATTATAGTTCCATATTCATATATCTTTAAACACTGACTAAGAATTTATCCCAAAAGCCAGTCTTAAGGCCAATCAATTTAGGGAAACTGCTAAATGTCCATGGAGACCTGCCTGGGGTTAGTTCCTGAATGTGCCATTTGCAGTATTTGTGGCTATGGACCAATCATTTAATGTCCCTGGGGCTGAGTTTTAAAATCTGAAAAATTAAGAGACCATACTTTACATGTTATTTTAATGACTAAATGCAAATGTGTATCAAAGCATTTTGGATACATACTTTTGGATACATAGGTGCTTGATAATTGTCAGGTGCCATTATTATTCAAGATTAATTTTCCATTCTGGTGCATAATAGAGATCCAAGAGTTTGCATGTGTAATTACAAAATACAGTTCCTAATGTTTCAATTACTTTTACTTGGCATACATTTGAAAACTTTATTTGAAATTAGTTCTGATTTTGTCAATTTGATGTCACTTTGCATCACATATTAAAAGCAAAGATCAACCTATAAGGTAGATGCACCATCCACCTTCCCAACAGGTAGGAATCTATCTCTCTCTCATTATCCTGGACATGCTGCTAGTTAAATAAAAAAGAATGGCAGGTGATTGTATGTGTTCTGTGACATGAGGGCATCAGGCAAAAAATAAATTACAAAATCCATGTGTTCTTTACTTGGCAGAGTCTCATTTTTCTCTGAATTCTCAATAGAACCTAACAATACTATACATAGTAGATGAGGGGTAGGTAAATGCACTGAATGAACAGAAATATCTATGGACACGGTGGAGTAGAACTCGGGCTTGATTTGGCTAGCACTGCATTTGTTCTATGAAGCCTCTGAACTCAGCCTGGGGCCTGGAACAGAGGAGCAGGACTTTCATAAATTCTTTTAAATGAAAGGTACTCCTTGGTGAAGGGATCTAGTCTCCATACAGTAATGTCTTAACACTTGGCAAAGCCAACCAAGAATAAAAAGGACATTAATTTACATAAAATATTCCCAATGTAATAGGAGTCACCGATTACCACTCTCTTTCGTAGTTCATTTTCCAGCAGAGGGTCTACAAATAAGTGATACTAGTTAAATGAAATGTCAAAATTTTATTTCCTGATTCAATCTCTGTCAAATACATCAGTGGTGAAAATGGCCAAGAAGGTTAGGGAAAGGGGTTCTGGAACATCCCATGAGACTAATCCAGAATATCCAGAATTGAACTTGAACAGACACATTTTCATGAGTGTCCCATAGAAAAGTATAGGTGATGAGCTCTGAGCAATTCTGAAGGAGAAAAGTACCATGAGGATTCTTAAAGAAAACTGACATTCAAACCCAATAGTGCATGTTAAGAGCAGATTATGAGGGAGAAGACTATTCTGACTGGATAACTACATTGTCATTATCTACATCCTAAACAACATCAATTTCACAAACATAAAACAATACGTTCTGTATATGTGAGTATATGTTAAGGATACTTGTGAGAACACAAAATTTAGTTGGGAAATAGGAAAGAACATGAGGCTTTCACTAAACCCCTCACACACAAAAAAAGAATCAAATGGCCCTTACACAACACGAGTTGTTTGCATGGTGGGAGAATGTGAAAATCCTATTACCTCTTCCATTCCTCCTTCCTCTTTTACATTAACAATACTAAGTACTGGCTGTATCCCAATGAACTGAGTAGATAAACACAATGTGGTTTTCTTTTAAAATAAGCCTTTACTGAACATATCAACAAGGTACTGTATAGCGTGGAGTGAAGTTTGTAGTTAACAGAGTGTGTGACACGGTAGGCCTCAAGAGGATGTGGGATGCAGAATCTTCCAGCTCCTTGAAGTTCCTGGTCAGAGAGAACACGCTTCACACAAACCAGAAGCAAATCGACAAATGATTCAAACAATAACAAGTCATCAGATTGATTTCAGTGGATAGATCAGTCCTAGAGGGGGACAAGCAGTGCTGGTGACTCACCATGCCTCAACTGATTACAAGTCTCTTACATCCTATGGACAACCTTCACAAATGCCCTCAGGTCTATGTGTATGCACGCACATGCGTACTTCATACTGATTAAAAAATGCCTGTCACAATGGCCTTGCTTTGTGCTCTTTGGGTGGGTGTGCAGTGAGAAAAAAGAAATATAGCAAAAGAAGATTTGTTATAACAGCATCATCATCTGTGTAAAACACATCTTCCCCACAGCCAGTGAAAAGCATCCCCCAATGCCAGCAATTGTCTTTCAACCTTGCAGAAGGAACCAAAGAAGGATGTGAGCTACAGCTTCCTAACTTTAGTGTTTTGACATAAATAAAAGAGCATCAGGCAATATTTGACAAGATCAAGAACTGGAAGCTGTTCTGTGTATGTATCTTTTCCCTGTTGGGTACTCTTCTGCTTGGCTGTCCTGTGAATCTGAAAAGGAAAGTTATGAGCATGGGTGCTATTGTCATGCTCTAAAGTAAAGTGTAGTCTCCTTATTAGAGTTAGAGAAAAGTGCCATAAACAAAGACACTGAGTGAAATGAGCCACTTCACAGTCAAATGTTGCAATGGCCCTGCAGCTGGGTTTGCTGATCAAGTGAGGCACCTGCTCCCTGTGGACCACAAAGCTGCCCTGTGTTCTAAGTGGGAGCCTTGCTCACAACATGAAGAGAAGGAAGTTCTGACATGGTGAAATGACTAAGACCATTACGATCAGCACTAGTAGGAAATGGAGCTGTGCTATGCGCTACTTCAATAAGACTTTTTACCAGATCGGTCACATCATAATTTTTGTTTGTAACTTGGGGGGGGGGGGAATATCTAATATAGTTTCAATGAACATCTGGATAATTAGAAATTGCATCTTTTTTCCCTAATGCAAGAGATCGTCCTCCACCTTGTGCACAGAAAATAGGGAACATCCTTGTGGTCTCTGCCTGTGAATGTCCCATGTGATGTGTGTGTAGTGCATCTGAGAGTGTTTGAGTGAAGCCCAAGGTCTCTCCATGATCAAAACATCTCCTCAAACAAGCAGGTATGAGCAACTACCCAGGGTATGAATACCTGTTGATAATATTGTGTGACCATGGCTATGCCTTCTCCTTCTGAAATGTCCTCTGTACTGTGACATATTTCTGCACTCTGACAAGGCTGGATACTATCTGAGATCATCGCAGCTGGTCAGCATCAAGCTCTCTATAAGCCAGTGGACCTGGTCTTGGCCTGCACCCTTAACCTTGACTAATCACCTCAAAATACAAAATGACGAAAACCAAAAGAGGAGAAAATACAGAGCAGATGTATCTGCAGATCATAGTCTGATGATGAAACATGCCAGTGAAAGCATAATCCATCAGGGATGGTCATTCAACAATTTTTGTAAGATGCCTGAGATTTTACAGATTTTATGATGTACTTTCCATCCTGGTATAGGTGAGAGCCCCAGTTATGTTATTATAAATGGCAGGCTGATTGTAGTCGTAGCACTCTTGGTCATGATGTGCACAAGATCAAAATAAATCCTGTAACTAGATTTTCGCTCTTCAGTAGAGAAAATTCTGTCAGATCACCCTAACCATTTCACATGACTAGATCTCCACTGTGCCACTTAAACCTGGAATAATTCTGTAAAATCCCCAAAGATATTACAAGAACCTCTCCATTCTCGTTCTTCCTGATCCAAAGCAAAGAGGTCTCAACAGCCAAAATTCCCACTGGGAGTTAAACGTACAATACCAATAAATGAGAATGGTTTTGTGGATAACAGAAATAAAAGCCCTCAAAGCCAGAGTACCATCATTTGAACAAATAGTTTTATCTACATAGCCAAGGGGAAGAGGCCAGTGGAAGGACATTATCCAGTTAAGTACAAAAAAAAAAAAAACCCACGACAACGTCCTGATTTTAGTTGGCTTACTATTACACTGGTCACCTTCGCAGGTTGTCTTATCCCTTCACGGTATGGACCTATCTTTAAAAACACAACAGCGAAGACCCTCTAGCTAACAGACTAAAATGGAAACCAGAGTCACTTCAGAATTAATTTAAATTAATTCATAGCTAAATTCAGCTCTATTGACTGCACAGTTTCAAGTCTTGTGTCTACAACATTCTAGCTTCAGTTATATGTTCTGCTTATTCTGAGGGATGAGGGAGATTAAAACATATATAAGTCAGGGTATATCGTTAAGGAAAATAAAGCTCTTACTATAAAGAAAAACTTGCATAGCGTTTTATACCTAAACTTTTACAAAGACGCATCACAGTTTTATTTTGCTTAAAAAGACAGAGAAAGCAAGATGAGTGTGACATTTACTTCATGAGTCCCTAAAATAATGGCCAGTGGTAACAGAAATATACCACGCAGTGAAATGCCTAGACACGATCTTCCAAAATAATTTTCCAAGGATGCACTTTCTTTCAGATAATGCATGTGATCTATAGCCCTTCTACATCTAAGGAGTGGTGAAGATTAGAGTAAATGGTACGTGCTTGCTGAAGATGGACATTGCTTCAAAAACATTTAGGATTAAGTGCAGATATCCCTCTCTATTCTATGCCCTCTGCTTGCTGCCCTGCTCTGCCAACATTCGGGGAAGCTCTTCTTCTCTGACTTGTTCATTTTTCATCGGTGGTCTTACAGAAGATTTACCATCCCTCCACAATTCCCAATTGGAGGAACTTCCACAATCGAAAAAGAACACATGAAATTTCAAGTGTTGAACGGGATCAAAGTCGGTCCGAGATGGAAACCTGGTATTGCTTTTAAAAATACGCATTCTTTTGGCCAGCTTTGATGTGTCCTTATAGAATTATTAGCAGTGAGAATTAATATGCATTTTAAAACATGTAAGTACATAAAGATATTTTGTGCAACCAGGACTGGCATTCATAATTCTCTTCGAAATACTGAGCAGAGGGGAACAAACAAAGGCGGCATAAACAACTTAATTACAAAAATAGATGCGAAATGATTGGAAGACAAGAATTTGAGAGGGGATAAAGGTATTAATTCAAGCTATTTCAACATGATACTAATAAAGTCAGTTGATAGAGTGTCATAGAACCACTGATCAGTTGCTTTTGTCTAAATAGTATCAGTAATTTTTAAATAAGAAGTTGTTTTAATATATTTTAAACACTTTTTTTCTCATTGGTCTAAATATCATGTTGATATAGCCTCAGTGAAACTACCCAAATAATTCTCATTATCAAAAATAATTCCATTCAATATAATTCTTCCCATTATTTTATTAGGCTCTTCTAAAAAAGTATTCTAGAATATATCTCTGTTGAATGTGATTCAACCTGACATATGATTTGAATAGTGACACTTTTTAAGGGATTTTTTTTTCTTGCTAGGACTGATCATACCGGTCCCTGAAGATGACTGAAATCATACTCAAGTCTCTAACTCTGTTATCACATAGGGCCAGGGAAGCATGAAGAGTGATTTTTAAGCTCCCACTCAGAAAGCCACCCCTGGGGTTCTAAGGTCTTTTCAAATTGGCTCTTGATTTTCTAGATTGTGTCAGGCTGGGTTTACTTATCTCACAGGAACCGGCTTCCTTTTGATGTTTTCTAAATTTCCTGCACTGGGTCAACTCAGGGTAACTACCTCCTTTCTTATTTCATGGAATTTTTTTTTAACTTTTCTTCCAGACCAGGAGGCATAGAAATAGCATGAGAACATCTCAGCCATTTCTTGCTTTACCCATTATTCTTCTTACCCCGAGGAGTCCATATGAATATGCCCTTTCATCTGACCATCAGCTGTCGGAAAGGAATTTATCCTGACAGCTACCACAGCAAAGTGGTTAATGTGCATCATAAGGAAGAATCACTCTTTCTTCTGCCTCGGCGCTAGGTTCTCATTGTACAACCCCGTACAGTACTTCAGCAACTATTTTTTTTTTTAAGATTTAAAAAGCAAAGAGTTACAAAACTGTTTGTAATTAACTTGAAATAGAAAAGATAGCACTTTTTTTTAAATCCCATTATATAGTACACCGTATAAATTACAGAGTATTCAAATGCACAAATGCATCTGTGTAACATTTATCAAATGTGATCTGCGTGTCTATGTGCACACACGTGTGTGTTCTCAAAGAGTTCGGCTGTTCGCCTTCCTAACAACGCTGGACCTCTGGTTGTTACGTGTGGCAGTGCTCCAGGTCTGGCACGCTGCTGTTGCAGTATCTCATGTTATTGGGGATATGGCAGTCTGTGTAATTAATGCCCCCGTTTGGGGTGTAAATGGGCTGCAGTCTGAAATCTCCTTTAAGGAGCTGATCGTTATTTAAGGAGACGATCTGAAAGCTGGTTTCCGTCATCTCCAGGATGGAGTTGTCCTTCTTGGTGCCTGCCTCGCAATAGTCATCTTTCCGACGGCCCCGGTTGTATTTCCACTTCTGTGAGGTGTAGCGCCCCTTTTTGTGCATGTGCCAGCAGAAGATGCTGAGCAAGACCACGAGCACGAATATCACTGCACCCCCGATCAAACCCGCCAGCAGAAAAGGGGAGCCCATGCTGTGGGATGTCGTCTGCTCATGGCTCGAAGCGGTGTTGCTGCCGTTGTTCAGATAGGAGGCAAGGGTGGTGGCCTCCGAGCAGACGGTGTCTTCTACGGCACGGTAGTTAAAAGCATCCAGTGGCACTAAGCAAATCCGATAAGTGGATCTGGGCTCCAAATTAACCAGGCTCAGGTGTTGCTTCTCCCCACTGACGATGCGCTCCTGAACGATGCCCCCCACCAGGCTGTGGCCCATCTTCACCCACGTGAGTTTGTATGCCATCACAGTAAAGAGAGACAGCCAGCTGACTTGGATGGAAGTATCATTCACAAAGTGGATGGACAGCTGGATCCGCTCAGATATAGGTGGAGTCGCTCTTTCTCTACCATCCCAGTCAGGAACGGTGGGAAGTTTCGATGTAGTGGGAGCTGGAGGTGTGTAGCTTCTGCTAGGGGTTGGAACAGAGAGGGTGGGAGGCTGTGTCGTGGGAGAAATAGTACTTGGGGCCGGGGTAAAGAGAGGCTGGCCAGGGGTCGTGGTGGGACACGACAGAAGATTCATATTCAGCTCCCTGACAGCCATCCCCCGGACTTGTTCAGGACCTTGGCACATGAAACCCCGGACGTTGAGAGATGAAGGGATATATTTGAGCCATTCCGTGACCCATTTAATACTGCAGTCACAAAACCAAGGGTTATTCCGAGCAGTGAGCTGCTTCAAGTTGGAGAGATTATCAAAGACCCCTTGAGTCAACTTCCTCAGTTGGTTGTTGGATATGTCCAGCCGTTCCAGCTTCCGGAGGTTGGAGAAGGCCGTCAGAGGGATGTGGTTAATCTGGTTGTCCTGCAGATACAGCCTGATGAGATGCGTACCTGGCAGATCAGGAGGGGGATAGGAGAGCGAATTACGGACTATGGAAAATTCCTTGAGCTTGGTGAGATGGCTGAAGGTGCCCTCGGCAATGCCCTTGTTCGTCAAGAGATTCCCATCCACGATCAGACGCTCCAAGCTTGTGAGGTTCTGAAAGGCCATGTCTGAGATCACGGCGATTCGGTTTTCATCGACTCTCAGCTCTTGCAGGTCCACAGGAAGCCCGACAGGCACGCTGCTCAGGTGGTTCTTGGACAGAAACAACAACTTGAGGCTAACAGCCTCCCGGAAGGCCCCATCCTCCACCCCCACCGTGGAGATGGAGTTGTCATCCAGGTGCAGCTCTTCAAGCTTCAGGAGCTGGGCAAGGGCAGCACGTGAAATGGTCTGAATGTTGTTTTCCTGCAAATGGAGAACTCGGACGTTCTTGGGAAGGTTCATGGGGAATTCATCCAGTTGGTTGCCATAAAGGTAGACCGTGTGCACTGACTGTACATTGTGCAGCTCTGCAGGAAATCCAGCATTATTAATTTGGTTGTTGTGGAGGTAGAGTACGGTTACGCCCTCCGGGATCCCAAGAGGCACTGAGGTCAAGCTTCGCTCGTTACAGTAGACAAAGTTCCTGTCGCAGCGGCACACGCTAGGGCAGGCCAGGAGTTTTGACACTTGTGAGTAGAGCCCTAGGGAAAGGATAAGCCAAGATTTCAGGAAAAAAGCCCCATGGCTGGGCCACTTTGTGGTCTGCAGGCCCATTTCTGAAGAACAGAAAGAAAATACAATGTGGTGGGGAAAACAAAAATTAAAAAAAATATATATATATATATATATATAATCAGCAAAATCAAAATGACGGGACAGGTTCTGTCAAAGTCCAGAATTCCAGCTACAGGAAATGTCCCGAGGGCATCGGTGAAAGAACCTTTCTGATGTCTCTGGTCTTATCAGCCTGTATGGCCCTCTTTGCTGTTGTCCTCCATGTGCAAAAGACTTCAATAGGGAGAATTTTCTACGCAGGCAGCAGGTGAGGCCACTTTATCTGCGGGGTCTACACAGCCAGAGTGGGTGGACAGAACTCCTGTCCTCTGATGGAGGTCAGGCCAGGGCTGATGGACCTGTGGACTTCTTGGTTAAGCACAATCTGTGATCTGTTGTAGGGAAGAAAAGAGAAGAGAGTCAGTTAACGGTAGTTATATAAGAAGTACTGATATGCCCACAAACCTTTCAAAAATAGCAAGTTTGGGACTAGCATATATTTTAGCTAACCAGTATTTAGTTGGAAAAATATTTAAGAAAACAATGAAATATCTTCAAAAGGAAACTCTTATTATCAATCGTACTGTGAACTCTGCATCCCAATCAGTACCTTCTCTTAAATATCTATGTGCATATATATATGATATATATATGATATATATATGGGATATATATATCATATATATATATATATATATATATATGGGATATATATATATCCCATATATATATATATATATATATATATATATATATATATATCCGCAAAATCAAAATAACGGGACAGGTTCTATCAAAGTGCAACAGACACACAGTCAACACACAGGATTGGTGAATGATTATCATTTCCAAATCCTATTGATCAATCTTACTACAAGATGGAGTTGGGCACTAAGGGAAAAAATGTGAAGCCCTCCAGAGTTATAAATCTTCAAAATGCAAAATGGGGAGTAAGTCATTTTAAAAAATGCAGCCTTATTAAAAAATTCTTCCAAATGCACTGTTTCCAAATACATTTATCACATAATGATAACTCATAAATGATGTAGCTATAGCTTTGTATGTTTCCATCTCCTGTTAAAATGCATCTTGAAATTCTAATATGAAAGCTTACTTCTGCTTAGTGGAGAATTCTAGAGAATGCAATGAAAAGGTTAGAATAAAACATTAATAGAGATTACTCATTATATTAACACTCAGAGATAACTGATAAGTTTATTTCTTTTGCCTAAGAATGCACATAACATCATTGGAATCATTATTTACCTTCCTGCTTCTTACCTAACAATTTGCCATGATCACATTCCATGTCATTAAAATCCCATGCATCCTTTCCATCTGACACAGATGAACTAGTGCAGGGATAATGCACAGAAGCACACATGAAGGCAGAGAAAAGACTTCTCTTTTCTTCCCCGATTCTTGCCTCTCTTCTTTTGTCTTCCTCCCAAATAGCTCCCACTTGAGTTACCAAGGAGACTGTCCAAACTCCAATCTATGACACATTTCCACCACCCGCCTCCTTTGGGACCTCCAGGTATGCATGAGCTCTGCCACTGTGATTCCTTTAAGAGTTGCCAGGCTCATGATTGAGAATAAATGATTTTCCAATATCACCTCCCTCCTGCCTGTGAGTGCTTTTCTTTTTTTTTTTTAAAGGACTTTCAGCAAATTATGAAATGAGAGAAGACATAATGGAGGAAGGAAAGGCAATCCAGGGCTAGCAAGCATGCCTTCTTGCTCCAGAATGTGTTCCATTTGTTTTTAGATTACAGAGGTAAAGAAGTTAATTGAAAGGTGCCAGATTTGATTTCCCTACAAAATAAGCTAACATGACAGGACATGGGGACTGCAAGTCTTCTAATTTTCACCAAGATACAGAGATCGAAATAACTTATATCTAAAAGCACAGAGGGTCTATTTGTAACTGTTCCCTCAGCTATCTTTAGAAATATAATTAAAAAAGAAAAAAAAAAGTATTGTAAATGTTATTTCAGTGTCAAGGATACTGTGAATTTGTTCTATCATTTAAAAGATTGTAAACCATATAAAAACGCCTTTGATGATCAGAAATGATAAATTCATTTTTGATTGCTTATTAAAAAAAAAAAGGGAGAGGCTGTTTCTTTCCAGGCAAAAGCAGAAAGATATGATGCTTTATTTAAAATGAAGTGGTACTTATAAATGTGTTTTGCCACTGAAAGGGAGCCATTCTCTCCAGAAGAAATCTCTATATGGTTAAAGAATAGTTTATACAACAGAGAGTAGCACAGGAAAACAGAGTTTGATGCCATCACCTCTATGCCATCCCTATCTCAGGTGTCACAGAATCCCAATGATTCCTAATGTCTTGCTCCTCAAGTATGGTGTATGGTCCAGCAGCAGGAGTCTGACCTGGGAAGCTGGTAGAAATGCAGAACCTCAGGGCAGAATGCAGTTTAGCAAGAACGGTGGGTAGGCACCTTAATATTGGAGAAATACTGCCCTAAACACAGAGATGTCTTAATTATTCATGGTTTAATTTATTACATGTTAAATAAAATGCAGGAGTATATCACACGACTTCTGTGAGCCAAGTAGAGGTAGAAGAGACACTAATTAGTTCCATCTCAAGGAGATGGCCTCAGATTATATCTTATATATAAATTAGATCTTCTAGGTAGAGAATCACAATGACTAGCTATGCCATTTGACCTCAGTGGAAAATATTTATCTCAATGACAAACTTGGCTATCTGGTAGGACCTTAAACACTTATTTGTAATCAGAACAGCCTACCTTTATGAAGTAAGAAGGTATACCTGCTCTTCAGGTGAAAAGAAAGCCTAAAAACCTAGAATCTAATATTCTGAGTATTGTGTTCATCTGGAATCTTCAAACTATGACAGGAGCACTCTGTTCTTACTTTCAGTTCAGAGGATGGCTACTGTTATATTCCCTAGGTAAGAAAAACAGCTGCAATGTTTAGAAGTTCCTAGGTAAAATGAACAGACACTTTAAAATCATGGTCTCCCCATCTGAAAAATGAGAAAAATAGTTGCTAATTCATAGCACTGTTGAGAGAGTTAAGCGAGAGTTTTGAAAAGCTTGTCTAGTGCCTTCAGGTGGCAAAAATACAATAAACACAAACCAGTATCTCTATGTAATTGTCATTATTAATGATATCTAAAGAGGTGGACTCCAATACGTAGAACAAAATGATACCACTTTTGACCTGCCAAATTCTATGTACCTTCTCCTACTGCAGGCTTTCATAGTCTTTACACGGATGACATTTTGGAACACATAATTCTTTGTTGTGGGGCTGTGGTGTGCATCCAAAAATGTTTTCATCTTACCAGTGCCTCCAAAGGTTAGCATCGTTATTGCTAATTTTCTAAGGGAAACTAAAGGTAAGTTTTTAATAAGCATAACCTAAAAATGTTCACTGTGGTGGATACTAATAAGCAATGATTTTTTTCATTCATTTATTCCATCCATATTTCCTGGGCACTAGAATGGGCAGCTGAATATAGGGCAGAGCCAGTGTGATTTTAGGCCTCGTGAGGGTTGAAATTGTAGAGAAGGGAGAGACTTGGGTATAAAGGGAATGAGAGCACTGTGGAAAGAGTTTTAATCCAGCTGATGGGGGACCAAGAAAAAACAAAATTAATTGTTCCAGGTGGAGGACTCTCTCAGTGTCAATGTGAAGGATAGAAGTTTCAAGCCAAGGAGCCATTCAAAGGGTGTTGCACACAGATCAAGCTGCTTGATACTTGAATCAAGAGTTGAAACCCAGCTCAGTCCAGAGAAGGAACAAAACTTCACCAACCAGAAAGCACTCTCCCCAGCTCTTGGTTAGCTTCTCCCAGAGTACCGCACTTCTAAAAGATAATAAACAAACCCAAAATCATTAGAAATGTATAAGTCTTTAACTACTGGGATAAAAAGGGCTTTGTAAGATGGATTTGAAATATTGAGACAGAATGATTTTATTTTCCCCTGTTTGTTTGAATTTGTGTACTGAATATGTTCCCCCCTACAAGAAACCAGAGATAATGAAGTATAACAAAATGGAAGGTGTTAGATAAAAACAGAAATTTTCATTTAAAGTCCACAATACAGTTTCAAAAGCCTGCCTATAAACCAACACATTATAAAAGCTCTTTGGGGACAAAGAGAGAGCCTGGCCCTGCCAGTCTCTTAAAGATGACAGTAACAGCAGCAGCTTTTCCAAGCTATTTTACCTTAATTTAACTCTTTTCATAGGAACTGAGATTTAAGCACACAAATCATGTAAAAGCTTTATGCAAAGTGTTTCTCCTGGTGTTACCTAAGAAGTTCTTTCTTTCTCTCTCTCTCTCTCTCTCTCTCTCTCTCTTTCTTTCTTTTTTTTTTCTTAATTAGTTCCAGAAGCCTGTATTCTAGGAGCGCTTAATAAATCCAGACTATAAAAATCACGGTAGAGAAAATAAGAGTTGTCAATAAGCACTGCCAATCACATAACATAACCACACTAGGACAAACCTAATAAAATCTTAATGGGCTCAGCATTGACGGGATGGTGACAAGATAGCACTGGGCACCAAGTGATAGGAATGAGAAAGCTCAGATGAAGAGGGTTTCTCCCAGAAAAGTGTCCTGGGGTCCGGTCCCACTACTAGAGATTCTGGCGTTAAGCAATTTGTGTTTAAAATCTCACCCATTCAGCTACAGATTTCATAAGCCTAACTACAAGACGAACGTCTCTGACAGGATCTGGAAACATGAAAGCAGTTTATAGATCTCGTGCACATTTCCACATTCCCGAGGGCAGGTTATAAATACTGTTTGTACGACAATCGGAGAGCTCTGGAGTCAGCTGGCCAAGATGTGGGGATTAGCAAAGGAATCTGGGGAGTATAACAATAGCCACCTCTGAATTGAAACCATTTTTTCCATCTCATTCACTGGACCAAGACCCCTGAAGTTTCTCATTAGACAAATATTTTTGTTTGCTGAGAGAAAGGAGGGAAGTGGGAAAGAAGGAGAGAAGGAGGAAAGAAAAGAAAGGAAATACTTTATATAGTTGACAATTACCTGGCTCCACTCAGTCTAGAATTAGAATCAAACCTCACCCCAGCCCTCAAAAAAAAAAAAAAAAAAAAAAAGAAAAAAAAAATCTGTCTGACAACACATTTGAAGGATTATCCTCATGTGGTTTCCAATTGGCTCAAATAATGGAGATACGATTAGAGCAAACAACCACTGTTACAAAACGTCAAATGCACACATTCAAGGGCACATTCACTACTGCCACGACATGCTTCAACCCAGGACAGAGCTACCATGGACTAAAATCTGTAACTGCTAGACAATGGCCTCTTTCCTTATCAACTACCACCCACATGTAGGTTTGCTCCAGAAGGTAGAAT